AAACAGATAAAATAGAAAATGAAACCACTGTACTGTTCATAAAAATTTAGGTTAAAGAATATGAAACTCATACCTTGCAGATGACATTTGCAATCTTCAAATCTTTTTCCAATTCTCTTACCAAATTCATCCCCTTCACTGGCCAAAAGCAAATATTAATACTCACAAAACAAAACAAATATGGTCTTCTCAATCGATATCGATTTTCACAAGAGGAAAAAGACAAAGTTTTTTCAATTCAAGATACTTACCCATTACTTCATGATGCTCCATAACATGGTGTGACAGATTTTCCGCCACTCTATCCAGCTGTACCAACCTCAAGGTAGCCTAGACAGTAAACAAAACCTATCAAACTCACTAACTAAAACATTCATCACCATTCTTATACCTTTCACGATAGACGCATCAGTCAATATTCAATTCCTTGAGAGAAGTTACTAGTTAGTACCTGCTTCTCAAAATAAGCTAACTCACTTTCATCATCCGGCACATTCTCCAAAATATGCCTTACCGGATCAAAATCCTACACAAAAACAAAACCAAAATGTCGCTAGTGGGCTTAGTGATAAAAAACGAAATCTTCCAATATCACAAACACTAAGATAAAGCAGACAAACACACACACACACCTCTTCATAAAATCCCTCTTCAAGCTCTTCAACTTGTTGAGGAAGAGGTCTATTTCCATAAATTGAGTTAAGCTCAGTAGCAGTAGAAGATATACTCAACCTCTGATCAGAAGGAAGTCCCGCCAAAGCACGAGCAACCGCAGCAGCTGCCGCAGCACGTGCCGGAATCTACACAAAAATCCCAATTCCTTAGAAGCTCCATTGATGTTAACAATTGAACAAAACAAGTTAAAGTTGAGCATTTTTATTACCTCAGGACGATCCGAGATCGATGGTGATGGTAAGAGACCAAGAAAAGTAGCGGATTTAACAGAGTGGAGGAATTTTTCACCAACCTTCGATAAATCCATGCCCCCCGTGCCTTGAGATAATAAGAAAGGAAGTAAGAAGAACCTCCTAGAGCTTGAATCCCAGCACCAGAACCAAGTTCGTTTAGATCTCCACCGCCATTGAAGAGAAATGGATTACCCAAAACTGAACCGAATGGGAAGAGATTTGGCTGCATCTCTCATCTCTTCTTTATACCAGTAAGATCAATAATTGATCCATCCAATTTTCCAAAGGAGTAATCGATTTCACGATCGGAGAAAATGTCTGTGTTTTTTTTTTTTTTTCGGCGAGTCACAAATCGGATCGGGAAGAGATCTAGAAGAAGGAGACTTTTGTTGAGTCTTTTGATTTGTTTCGACAATGGTGTGTGTTTGATTAAAGCCACTTCTTCTTTTTACACTCTTCTTCCAAATTTTTTCTCTATAGTGTTAATGTTTATATTATATTCTTATTTTTTTCCTTATGTTTTGCTTTTTTGTCAATTTTCTAAGACTATCTTTAATTACTCTATTGCCATCTCTTAATGTATAAAACATCTTACCACTATATATGGCTAATCAAATCCATAAATAGAATTTTGTTGTTGAAAAAAAAAAAATATACTCCATTGAAAAAATATTATTATATATATGTGAAGTTTATTAGATTATAATATTATTGAATTAAAAATAAATCCACAAAAGTAATCCATTGAAAAAAGTAAATAACAAAAAGTTTAGAATGCTATATACTATATAATAATAATAATAATAATAATAATAATATAGTTAGGACTTATGTTTCGTCTTCCAAAAAAAAGAAGATGATCACAACAAGCAAAATGGTGCCCCCTCGAATAGTACAAACTATGATGAATGCATTTTTTCTATTATCCCCGTGATATCCAAGTTTGTGAGGCGGCACTCTGTCATAAAGATCATGACTGCTTTCAGTCATGAGCATATTCTTCCTCATCATATGTACAACTCAACTCTTAATTTTCCACATCAGTAGTAAACCTCATATTGAGGTCGGGAAAAAAAAAAAAAAAAAACATACATCGGTAGTGTGTCAAATACAGTTTTCTGTATCCTATCATTCTAACTATTGGGTTCAAAAATTGTGTTTGCGTTGAGTTATGGACCGCTCATTTTAAACAATTTAAATTTGGCATGTTCATTTACTAGTTGCTCGCGACAAGCCACTGCGACTAGCGACTTCTTCTGTTGTTTGTTTGACAGTCAATGCAACTACTCTCTATATATATATTTCGAAGTTTTGAATTTTAATATTATTAGTTTATGAAAATTTTAAGGAAACCTTATGTTTTTAAGAGTAATTTAAACCCTCCACTAGATTCAGAAGGATTCATGAACTTGAAACCACATGAATCATCATAAGACATTGAGTCAAATTATATTTGAGTTTATCGTAAATGTTTGTATTGGAGATTAAAAAAGAACTGAAGCAGAGGTCAAGTTTGGAAAATTAATGTTTTTGTTTTAACAAATGAAACTGAATATTAAATACAAACTTTGCAAAACCAAAATTTAGACTTATACTGTTGTTTACATTCAAACTCTGTTACGGCTCTGTTTCTACCCAAGCGGAAAGAATTTCCAGCCAAAGAACCCAAATAAGCATTCTTTCATATTGAATTTGAGGTTTTGTATGATCGACGAAGAATCTTAGGGGTGTTATTGGTTTGTGATTTAAATAGACTTTTAGTGACTTGAAATGTTATGTAGAATCTGTTGTTATTCAATCAAGATTTTTTAAAAGTTTGTTAAAGTTTGGTGTTATTAGTTTAAGATTTGTAAAAAGTAATCTAAAATCTTCATAAATCTGGAGTTATTGGATCCATACTCTTATAAAGTCATTAAAAATTTTGTGTTATTCAATTACAACAAAAGAATCTATGATTGTTAATAAATTAAATTATTATGTTATTGATTTATGACTTTCTACATTTTTCTTCACAAAACAAAGTCATGAAAAGTATCATCAAAATAGAGAGATTGTTTTTTTTTTGATAAACCCTATCGGCTGATCCGGTCAGCATCGGTAGAAACGTACCGAAGTGCTTCAGAGTGGACTACTCCCCGAAGGGCCACCACACTGTCTATCCCGAGTTTGGAATGCTTTCCGACTAATGCCAGGGGATAACCAGATCGCCTGTTATTGGACTACCAGGTAAACTGGCCCAAGCCCAGACTTCCTACACAAATGTGATTTTTGTTTCCAGCGTGGATCGAACCTGGGTTAGTTCCTTCCAACCTTTCCCCAGTTCTCAACTACCACTGGATCACAGCTGTGTGGGCAATAGAGAGATTGTTTGAGAAACTTTACAAGATTATGACATATTAATCAACAAGATTATATAAAATTCTCAAAAACTCTCTAACAATAGTTTAAAATCTTTCATTTGTTTACTTTCTATGATTTTATTAAAGTCATAAAAATTCCATGTAAATTAGGAACCAATAACACCATCTTAGTCTCTTTCAAATGGAGGTTCTGGAGACAACGTCACAAGAAATATAGTCAGGAGATTACTTCAAACGATTCATAGCTTTGACACGCCTCGAGATCTCAGAGAATTTTTAATTATCAGCTCTCTCCGATTTAGCCGCTCGAATTGCTGCCTCAAACAAAGAACTCTTGCTTCTGCGTCGTTCTCGGTCTATTGTGTGTGTTGCTTAACTTTTTATCCCGATCTAATCAAGGATAACGCAACAAAAGAGGAGAGAAACTGGGGACTGGAAGAGAGTGATCTGATTCTGATGTGTTTATGTGAAGAGTAAGAGAGAGTAATGCTTTATATGCAAGTTCCAGGTAGGTTTTGTCATGTTGAGATACTCCTTTATTAAACTTGCTTCCCAAGTTTCCCAGAACTTTCCATTTTTGTTTATTCATCCTATTACTGTAATGGTAATTACACATATACATATATGGGAATATCACACTTTTCTTCCCCCTTTTTTTTTTTTTGCTTAAAACATGACTTGGATTTTCAATTTCATTGTGAAAATTACGAAAAACCATGTAAAGATAAAAAGCAGAGGCCGACAATTCTCAAAGCAAAAAAATAATACCAAGATATTTACGCAAAAGACCATTAGTAAAAATACTGAGGCAAATGATCGTCCAAAAACCCATAATTAACCATTGGTGTGTTCACAAACGACAAAACTAGTCATCAGATCATCTGTCTTAAACCAAAACGCATAATATAAGTCCTAAGAGAAAAAGTTGGCCGAATCCTTCAAAACATTCACAGCCAAACCCAAAAGTGGTCAAACCCGAGCCGCATATAGTTTTTTTTTTTGAAGTATTAACGGCTTTTGAAACTGGTAAAGAGAAGAAGAAGTATCATCAGCAGTAAAACATAACGTCCTTGACGTTATCTTTTATTGCTGGGAGCTGCGAAATGACTTGACCCGCACCTGTTGTTGTGTTCCTCGACCTGCTCGAGCCTCCATCAGACATCTCACTCTCCATGTAGTAGCGGGCACGGAAAGCAGCCAAGTGAGCGTAGTAGGCTGGTGGCACAATTGACACAGATCTTGTGCACCTCGCAAACCTGTATAAAGTTTTTATGTTTTGTTAGTTTCAGAGAGTTAACACATGTCAAAGGAAAATGTACAATGTTGTTGTTTCTTACGTGTAGCAGAGGTTGTTGGTGAGCATTTGCAACTGATCAGCACTGAAACCGTTCTCGTCGAGGAGAACATGGTAATGAGCCGGCCTGCTTGTTCCCTATTAACATTCAAACATTCAAAGAAACTTAGAATTCTGCAGAGACAATAGAGATCATTAATTGGTCTAAGATTCTGGAAGTAATACCTGAATACCAGCATGGCTGTTCAAATAGAAGTCGAACTCATTCGGGTGACAGATTGTAGTGTCAACGACAGTACCTAATAAAGGAAATGCAAATATGTTACTAGCATTTTCGATCATCAACGGAATTAAGTTGATAGAGAAGAGAAGAGAGTGAGAAACCTGGTTGAATATTGCCACTTTTATCAGTCGTATCACGATTCCCGTGTTGCTCAGGGAACAAACGAGTGTGGTGACGTTTCTGGACAATCACGAAAGTGACACGAGGAACATAGTTCTCTTGGAGAGAGTTACAAGCCTTTCGTATAGCAGTCATCTCATGCAGCAGAACCTGACTAAACTGCCCTTCGCTTACTCCGTCGCTGTATAAAGGAAAAACAATTAGCTAAACCTGCTCATGCTATGAAATGTTCAAGCATGGAATGCGAAAAACACTTACCGATAGAAGATAATCCTTTGAGGTATCTGGCCCGTAGCTCTCCTGAATGCTATGAAATGTTCCCTGCAATCATAAACAGTGTCCATTTTATTTGTAACTGTGAAAAATCAAAGAAAACAACAAGTTGTAGATGTTTTGTTCTTACCTTATCAAACCAGAGTGGACTAGCCCACGTTGTGGATCCTGAACCAGCTTATACAGGTCCTGGATAATTTCTTCCCTATGAGCTTGAGCAGAAACCAGTCCTCGGTATTTAGTTATCTCAGGCCAGTCCATAGAGGCCACAACCTGCAGTTCAAAAAGGAGAATTAACTTTTATGATGAATCAATAGTATAATGAGATACAAGTAAAATTAATCAAGATATACATACAGCAGCAATAGAAGGACTCGAGTCCTCTCCAGGTTGCGGATGAGTCACATCAGCACCCATGATTATGGTTGGGCGATCAGTAATAAGAGGTATGTTTCTTCTAATAGCATCATTAAGAACAGTGTTCCTTCCCCCAGTCTGTAAACAAATAACCGTTTTACACCGTCATAAAAAACAGCTGAATGATTAAACAATAAGAAGCATAGATGATTAGACCTTGACATTAATCTTCAAGGCAACATTTTCCATGTACTGCTTATTGAGTTTAGAAGCTTGTCTTGGTTGGCAACACTGAGAGACGATCCCCAATTCTGTTTCACAGATCCTTTTGATTTGTCCTG